CCCTCTCGACAAATAGTGTTGTCTCCCAAACACCATTTGCATATTCCTCGGGACCTGTTCCGCCCAGTAGGGCCCGCGCAGCCCGTGCGACGACAAATGTCGCTCTTCCCTCTTTTTCCCCTGCTCCCCTCTCCCCATCCTCCCTTAAACCTGCCGCCAATTTGTCCTCTCCTCTTTTTCCGTCTGATTCCCTTCTCTCTCCCTGCCGTCCCACTCATATTTTTTTTCCTGCCCATTTTTGCACGTGCGCTTCTGCTCCTCTCCGTTTTGTGACTGTGCTGCTGTTGCTGGTGTGGTTTTTCAACTCGTACTGCCCGTTCCCCCTCCCCGCGTTTTTCTTTTGTACATTTTCCCCTGTTTGGCTCTCTGGTGATTGGGTCTGGCCGGCCCGTGCCGTGCCCTTCGAGTGGAGTTTGAACGGCACCGGCCGCCGCGTTCGTGTTGTGACAGCCGGGTGACATCAGATCAGCGCGTGTCAGCCTCGGAGTCAGCCGGTGACAGGGCCGGAGCGGTAGCTATAGCCGGAGCGGGCGAGCGAGGCGCCTCCCGAAACTAAATCGAAGCGGCTCATCGTTGGGGCTCGGGACGGGTCATCGCCTCTGCCGCTGCGAAATTAGATATTCCCACGTCAAATGAAAGTTTATCAATTACATTAGTGGGCTCCCCCGCAGTACGCCTACAAGCGACCGCGTGGCGCTCTGTGAGCCCCGGGGCTGATAGGCAACCCGCCCGCGCGCCTGCCATGCGGTACAGTATCGCTGCCATACTGGGCGGCGCCAATCGGCAACGTCTAGCACACACCTTGTCTCCAACACTTTGTCTCTCATGCGGCGTGCGCCTGCTTTTACACTGTACAGTAATTTGCGGCCAGAAGAGGCCATGGGTTGTCACCAGCGTGAGACAATCATGTCTTCTTACTTTAGGGTAAGGTGACGACCTGCTGTGTCGTCACACTTAAGTTGTCACCAAAGCGGTGCGCGTGCCGGGGCCATTGGCGCCGAGAGCTCAGCTCAGCGCGGTGTTATTGGTGGCTGCACAGGGGCCGGCCGGGCCATGGGCCGGGCCCCGCTCACCTCACCGCCAAGTTGATGACCCCTGTGGGCTCGGCACCGCCCATGGCAGGCCCATGGCAGGCGGCCCGCGGCACACCGCTCGTGGGCACAACAGCCCAGCGGCGGCATGGCCATGGCATGGCCCAGGCCCCAGGCCGGCCGATAGGAATGCTGGAGCCGGCCGGCGGTGCCGGTGCCCGAGCCGGGCCGCGGCGAGCCGGACCTGCCGGGCGAGTCATGAGCGAGTCTAGGTAAGGGCAGGGGGCCCGGCAGGGGCGAGGGGGGTATTCGCCAAGTGGGCTCCCCCCTTCTCTCTTCCTCCCCTCCTGTACCCGCGCCCCCCGCGGGGGCCTTCCTCTCTATCTCTATCTCACTCTGCACGCCGCGCGATCAACGGAATGCCGAGAGAAGCCCCACCGCACCGCCCGTCGCCTAGCAGCAGCCTATAAGCTAGCTGCTGCCGGCGTTGCTGGAGAAGAATCGAAGCGCGAAGCGGCAGCAAAAGCGCCCTCCTCCAGCTCCTCCCGCTCCTCCTCATGCAAGCCTCTTGGGCGGCTCATGGCCCGGCTCATAGACCGGGGCCCGGACCGGCTCATGCCGGCGCAGCGTCCCGTTAGTCATTACATGGCATTGGCATCAGTGCGGGGCGGAGCGGAGCGAGCAGGATGTTTGTCCTCCCCGGCGCGGCGTTGGCGCGGTCGTAGTCGACGGCGGGGCCGGTGTGGCCGTCGAGAGGACGGGTTACTCCGCGCAGCGTGCTGCTGCTGCTCAGGTGACGCTGCGCGGCCCGCGGCCCACCCGCCTGGAGCCCCACACCTCATGATGATCCGCAGCCCCGCGCGACGTGCCGGCCCCTGGCGACGACGACGACGCGCCGCGGGGTGACATGTCGCGGCGTGACGCAGGTTGTTATCGGCGCGACCACGACTCTACTTCCGGCGCTGCGGCGGCGGCGCTGACGTGAGGGGGCGAGAGATGGACGAGGGGTGGGGGGGATATCCGCACTGACGTGAAAAGTTATCATACAACCGCGCGGGGGCGAGTGGAAGGGGAGGCGAGGCGAGGAAGGCCCTCCTGCCTGTCACGCACGAGGTGTGCGTGTGCGCGCCCGTGGCGCGCGCGCCTGCTCCTCCCTCGCCGCGGCCGCCGCCCGGAGTCGTGCGGCTTTGCGGAGTGAATTTCCAATAACCGCGCGTCGTGTGGCCGCCTCGCACCCTCCTCCCCGACGACGGTGACGACGCCCCGCCCCGCTCCGCTCCGCTCTCATCTTCCTCGGCCTGCCGGCGATTATCGAGCGTGTTCACGGCTCGCGACGGGATCAGCCATAATTAAAGAACCTGATCGCGTCCTCCTTCATTATCGGTCACGCGAGTCTGTCGCTGCCGCTGCTTCAAGGGCGAGGGCGTCTATCTCGCGCGTCCTCTGCTGCGGCGGATTATGTATAATATCGCCGAGCGCGCGGCCGCTTAGCAGCAGCGGCGGCGCTTTCCCAAGCTGCCCTTCATCCTTATTATCTCATTATTTCACATTAACACAAAACGCTCTTCTTTGTATTTCAGAGGAAAAGTGGGAAAATTAAAGAGGTGGGGGGGGGGGGATACACACGGTCGAAGGCCGCCGCCCCTCGCACAATGGGACTATGTCCCTCTTTTTGGCAGTGTAGGGCGAGATAATGGGCAGCGTATCTCGCGGGGGTGTTTATTCGCGGCGATAGTGGCAGTCACCTGTCATTGTCTCACTGCCACACCCCGCCACGCCCCGCCACGCCGCGGCCGGGAGGGGCGCGGGGGTGCCAACTATGTCAGTGCGGGAGGGTGAGGGGGTGGCTGCGGGAGGTGGGGCGGGGCGGGGCGCACGGCGAGAGACGATAGGCTCTGCCCCGGATGAACAATCCCGCGACAAAAGATGGGAAATCTTTTGTTCCCTCTCTGCTGCTGCGCCTCACACTGATCGGCTTGACGGCTTACGACCCGCCCCGCGCTCCGCGTACCGTGACGTCATGGGGCGGTTTCTACAACGATTCAGTTTGAACTGAGCGAAGCATTCTTGAAAGTGTTTTCGAGCTCGAAGCCGCTGTAGAACCCCCGGCGAGGAAAGCATTCCGGTACCTGTGGTGGCCGTGTGTGTGTGCCGTGCATGGATGTGTTGTAGAATGCACCGGCCTGCTGGCCTTGGCGTGGCCTCTGCCCGGCCGGCGCGGCGGTGGCGGTGGCTACGGAGGTCGGTAGGCCGCTCGGGCGCAGCCGTGCCGTGCGGCGGTGCCTACCCTCCGGGCGCCCAGCCCAGCCCCGCTCCTCGCCTCGGTCCTCCTCGGTCGCACGGCTCGGCTCGGCTGCCCCGCGGCCGTCGTAGCGGCTCAATGGGCGAGGAGAGGGTCGTGTTCCTTTCACGGCTGTAATCGCCGCGTCCAGCACCGCGGGGCTGTCCCGTCCACGACGCCGCCGGTCCCGGTCGTGTGGCGAGGAGAGCTGCCCGCGGGACGTTTGAAATGGGAGTTGAGGAATTCGGAAGAGCACTGCTGCAACCATCTTGATGTCCGCGCGCAGATGTTTTAAAACAAATCAAACAGCCGTGATGTCGCCGCCCTGGTTGATGATTGGCTTTCATCCAGCGGTCCACTTTGCGAGACGCAACTGCTGCCCCTGCACTTGCTGCTGCTGATGCTGCTGCTGCTTGCAGTTGACTTGGCTGCCGCGAATTCCAACACGCCGGGTCGTGGGGAAAAAAGGAAATAAGGAGCTTCGATGAGAAGAGCCGGCGCGGGAAGGCCAAACCAGGCCGTCGAGGCGAGAGCTGACATGCGCTGCTGCGCTGGCTTGCTGCTCTGTCCACTCCCCTCTCCCTCTGACATACACTCACTTTAATCGTTACCGGTTGGGTTAGTGCCGCTACAGCGAGAGGGGAGGGGGAAGGCGGACATCTTCTCGCATTCCTTCCTCACAGCCCCCCGCCTCTCCCCCCGCGGATCCCGCAGGCATCTCTCTGCTACTCGTAGATGAGGCCCGAGGAGGGTCCAGCACTCCAGCAGCCCGCCACCGCCGGGTCCCGCCGTTCCGAGAGTGGCGGCCGCCACCACAAAGCGCAGGGGGAGGGGTCTCTAACTGCTGGAGAACGAGACCGCCTGGAGAAATTACTGCAGCCCCACGACGACGCCGTTCCCGACACTGACGCGCGCGGGGACGTCGGGGGGCGCTGACCAGGGCTACCGGCTGCTTTGCAGTAGGGAGCGGCGGGGCGCGAACTGCTGCGCGTCCTCGGCCACCCGGGCTTATGGTTGGCGTCGTTGGCCCGCGCACTCGGTATTTGTGAAACACCCTGGTCGAAATTAGAGCGAGAGCACGGCGAGCAAGGGGGCGGCGGCGGGCGTCGCGCCACTGCGTACAATTATCGTCTGCAAATAATTGTCTGAAAATAACACGGAGGTGTCTTGCGGTGCCGGGGAGGCCATTGAGCGGCCTGGGGCGGGCCGGGGGAGGGCAGGCACCCCGAAGGAGGTCGGCGGTGCGGCGGACTGTCCCGTCAGGGAGGCTTTGAGCACAGCAAGCGACCGCGGTACACCGCCCCCGCGCTGTGCTACGCTGTGCTACACCGTGCTGCCCGGCCCCGCCCCGCCGGGCCTTTAGTCAGCTGACGTGTGACGTCACCCCCGCACCCCCAGCGGACCAGAGCCGAGCCGTGCAGGCGGCCGGGCCTGCCGGGCTGCGGGCGAGCGCAGCGCTCCACCCCCTCCGCCGCGCCCCGCGAGCCCCGCGAGCAGCGCTCCCCCGCGGCGCCTGCCGCAACTAGCCATCTGACAGCAGCAGCAGCAGCAGCCGGGCCGTGCCGAGCCGGGCCGAGCCTGGCCGGAGCGCAGCCGCCGCCGCCGCCGCCTCCTCCCCGCAGGCCGCCGCCGCCGCCGCCACCACCGCGTCGCGCCGCCGCTGCCGCTGTCCGCGCTCCGTTCCGTCAGTCGGGTTGGGTTCAGTCGTGGCCCGTCCACCGTCACCTCGACTGCACCCGCCTGGCGCATCCGCCCCGCGCCACGCCGCGCCACGCCGCGCCACGCCGTGTGTCGCAGTAACACGACCGCAGAGTGTCACCGGCCCGACAACGCCCCCGCGACACGCGCGTGCTGCGACAGTGAGGGCACGGCGGAACATGTAGTGCGGTCCTCGCGCGGCCCCGCCCCACCCCGCCCCGCCACGCCCCGCGCGCCGGCCCGGCAGCAGTGCAGTGCAGTGTAGTGCGTGTGTGTGTGTGTGATGCGTGCGCGGGCACGCCCCTCGGCACGGCCTACAGCGAGGCCCACAGCGCGCCCTGCGCCGAGGAGGGCTTCCAGTGCGACGGCGAGGATGGACCGCCTGTGAGGCAGACCGACGACGCCCCGGCCTTCCCCCCAGGCCCCCCCAGGCCCATCCCGGAATTGGATTAACCACTGTGTGCGTGCGTCCCGTGTGCCGCGAGGAGTGCGCAGCGCCGACTCCGCGGTGAAGAAGTTGTAACAGTGCGTGTTTTGTGCACCGAGATGGCCGTCCGGATGGAGAACGCCGCGAACCAGCAGCGGAAGATGAACTACAAGATGGTGGTAATTATCGCTAGGTTATTCCTCTCGCCGCGCCGGCCGGACTGAGGCGCCCGCCCCATCCGGCCGGTCGCCGGCCCTGGTACGTGCGCTGGACGCGCCGGTAGAGGTGCCCGTCGCAGCGGTAGCCGCGGTGCCGGCCGGCCGGACGCGCGGGACGTGGCGGTGCATCCCCACCGGGGTCGCGGCGGCCCCCCCGGCCGGCTCGCGGTCGGAAATTGCAAGAAATGCAGGTAGTTTAGGGTGCCGTATGGGCGGGGCT